AGAAAAATGGTGGGGCGAATGTAACATGATTCTGTTTATGTGCAACATTCTCTGAAATACTTAAATGGCATCCTATAACTTACTTCAATGAGATGTTTCAGAATGCTAAAACCTCATGTACTGTATTAACAAGGCACGTTTTTTTTGTAGTGCCTCACTAAAAGTGTAAAGATGTGTTGTCTTGACTCGAGGGCTGGATCAGTCAGATAGGAATCATTCAATCAGTCACGGGAAGCAGGAGCCTTTGGTAGATCTAATCAAAGCTTCGTCCCTTTTTCTTTCTGGAACACTTTCAGGCTTGTTTATAGCTTTCAGATAGTCAGTTATTCATATACATGTCTTCATGGTATTGTGCCTTCAGGTTATTAGATTATGAGTTTTTACAGAACTGGATGTCCTGTTGAGTGTGGTTGAAGGTTTTCTTACATTTGACCTTTTGTTTGGAATTAGAAGATGCAATTTTCATATCTTTCTGTAATTAATTGCTACTAAATCAACATTAACTGGATATTATCTGGCACATTTTCTTAATTAAACTATGGATTATTAGTGTCTAATATAATCTCCATCGTCATGTATTTTCGCTGTTTCTATTTTCATCTGCAGTACCTCAGAGTCATTCAACATTGCACTTTTGCTTGCAATGTTGAACATGACCCAGTTTTATCGGTGCATGAGACTCTGCAACCTCATAACGTTGTATTGTTTACTCGTAGCACCTGTGGTCGCTTTGTTAACAGGAAATAGGAAGTTCATTTACAACTTGCTCTTTCATTACTTTGCATTGATGATGCTTTGTGTATCAGCATCAGCAACATGACTTTTAATGATGGTGTGTTTAACTCACAACATTGCTTTCAGTGCAAACAAAAATAAGCTATTTATCAGACACAATCCATCATGATAGCTGTGCATTATAACTGTAGGACCCTTGCTACAGTTCAGTAAAGGCCCATGCCCATGGTTTAGACACACCTTATGTACTGTACAACCATTGGGTCTCTGGACTAGGAGGGGCTTAGATATACTATATAAGAAAGCTATCCTGTTGATGCAAATATAGCTTAGCATGCTCCATTAACGCAACTGGATTCCAATGACACAGAACAACCTTCAGCATGTACACAGGGCCAGCGAAGTCTCACATTTAATGTAAAGAGAGTGAGACAACTGTATATTCATTTATATTATGCAAGGCTAATGCATAATAGATTGTAGGACTTACATCAAGGTCAATTTGGAAGTTGAATTATTGATAGAAATTGGACAAATTAAAGGTAAATTCGTTTTTGATAAAAAAATATATATTGTCGGACTTGTTCGTCACATTGAAAAATGAAGGTGCTAACATTAGTCCTTAGCATGACCCTGCCTCAAAAAACTCCTACAGTTCCCATAGTGCAACTCTGCCTGTTAACTGCTCTCATCCTTTACTCCCCCTTTCTCAGTTTATGACAAAGTTTAAGACTAACTAAAGATTATCGCCCTCCATAGCAACAGAGAACGGAATGATACTGCCCATCCATTGTATGCCATTTTGTGTACAATAGTTGGAGTTCCCCACTAAATACTTTTTGAAGACATGCACAGGTCACATAGCTAATGACCACTACTTGGAGTTAGCCAATCTTCAAGCTGTATAGTTGTTACATTGTTGCAAGTGAGCCACTCCCCAACTATTGAATGTAAATGCCAGCTGGAGGTTTTATACCAGTGTTGACAACCTGACGCTAATTAACCAGTTAGTCAGATTCCTGCCCTGAAAACCAGCACAGCATGATGACTGAAATATTTATTCTCACACATACTCTTTCCTCCCCTCTTTTCGGGACACTTAAATTATATTATTAGTTAGTTTTAGCGCCAGCAGGAGGGCATCATATGACTGCTTCTCCACTCAGGCTCCTTATTGTTTTCCCGGTCCCCCCTCGCAGAGAGCTACCTCTCTCCTTGTGCCCTGAATGTTTTTGTTTGCCCTCGCCAGTCTGCAGGGGAAGAGCCCTCCAGCTAATTAGAGAGTTGCCAGTGGAATTTCCCTGTGACAAAGGGAGCTATTCATGTCGGCCGGATGGTGAAAATGTCACACTGGCAGCAGCAATAGCTTTGCTCCGAGGAGTTAGCAAAATGAAGAGGCTTCACTTTGAAGCTCGCCTCCTTGCACCCAAATCAATGCAACGCTCCTCAGCCTGCAGCCCCCTCCATCTCTGCGCTTCTGTTTTGCCATCTATCATCTCCTGGTGCTCTGCAGTGTTGGCCTCTGTCACACAGACTGTCAGCACAGGGGCTAAATCGTTGACCTCCCATCTTAACATGTTGTCTTCTGTGAGTTGAATTGGTGTCTCCTCGGCATATATCTGACCCATATTTCAAACATACGCTGCAAAGACACATTCCATTTTGCCGCCTCTATGTCAAGCCTTGTTTATACTCACGGGAAGCACCATAGGGCGGCCGTCCACTCGTACGCTAATCTCCGAATCCCCAGAGGGCGTACAGACAAAACATTCTGTGGAGAATCAAAAAGTCTTACCGGCAAAACGCAGACCAAACATGCAACTTTTCTGTTCTGAGAGGTTTGCTCACATATTGCTACAATATTTATGACCTTACTTTATCGTCTTCACACCATCCCTGTGAAGAAGGGAATAATTGGAATAACAATGTTTTGTGATAAAACAAAGATTGAAAGTTTTAATATATTGATCCAAATGCAGATTTTACAACCTCCCTTTTCGAAATGCATTTATAAACAAGTTGGCTGTCTTTTTAAAATCATCACAATAGTGAGGATTCATTCATTATTTTACTTTAAATTCAAGTTTGTTTGCTTTTATCAGTCCGCTATTCACACACCTGCCTAAAAACAAAAAAAACTCAAATGCAATTACAGTCTGCAAAAACAAGAAATTAGCATCAACCATTTGCAAAATGAGTCTCTTCCAATTCTATCCATGAAATATCCCTCCCCCCTCTCCACAGCAGCTCCACGGGGGAAATATATTTGTTATGTCCGGACGGAGCGGAATTCCCCTCATGTGGAATGTGAATTGAAACCCTCCCCTGTCATATTTTCCACACATACATCAAGTGTGCATTAGGAGAGGGGAAGCTAACAGTATACAGCATCAAATTGCCCAACCCTACTGTCCACACAGACATGTCAATGAAAAATGGGATATGATGTACTTTTAATAGATCAAACAACACAAGCACGTCACACACCAACATCTACATATAGTCAGACACATGCCTTCCTTCCAGCACTTCCTGTCCCATGGGATCGTAAAGACAGTAACAGCTTCCTCTTTTCCTTCCTGTCTAAAAACACTTTTAAGCGTGTTTCTTGCCTTCCTTTTTCTCCCTTTCACAGATTTTAACACAATTTTCTCGCGTCCGTTTTCGTCTTATCATCTTTTACTTTTTCTGTCTCTTTGTCGTGGCAGTCTGTTGTGGGCAGCGTGCCTACTGACGCTCTTGGACACTACTGTTCATCGGGACACAACCATAATGATTGTTAGCAGGGATAAAGTGCCTTTGAATGCTTCAATACCTTTTGACATTACTGTGTCCTTTTGGAATATGAAATGATCATCTGTGTAATAAAACTCAGCAGATTAGAGACATGTCGTGGGATGCAGCTAGTGTAACTACAATCAGCTTTTCAATTCTTGCAATTTATGGGAACTGACAGATAGGAACTTAAGTCGAAAGTCATATTTCAAATAAGCTGAACTGAATTTACTCCTTTTTAGCAAGTCACTGCAGTCTGACCGCCGTCTCTCAGTTCTCGTTTTCAAGCTTTACACTTTCTACTGCTGTTTGTTTATTCTCCTTTTAACATAACAACAGGTATTTTGTACCATATTAGCAGTTAAATTAGTGTATTAGGTCAAATTAGCTGCCTTGTTGTAAATTATTCGGATGAAAAGATGGCAATTATGCTCATTTGCTTTCTTGCCAAGAGTTATATTTGAAGATTGAAATTTGTGTTATATCTGTCCAATAAATATGAAGCCAAAGCCAGCTGACACTTAGCAAGGCTTAGCATCAACAATGGAGAAAGGCGAGAAATGGCTAGCCTGGCTCTTTTCCCAGATAATCACCTCTGCCTAAAGGGGCTAATTTACACGTTATGCACACACTTCCAAAAGATTGTCTGTGACTTAACAGTAAGTTTGTATGAAAAGAAGTAAAACTCCAGCACAAAACCTTTCCAAACAAAACAACCAATATACATTTTTTTAATAACACATATCTGGAATCATCATAGTATGTCTATTGTTTCACTTCTAAACAGATATTAGCTGTTTTCCTTCTCCCCGGAAAGTTCCCCTGATTGTTTACCATATGAAAAATTGGAAATCCACCACACTGCTTGCTGCTCTAGCGTGTTATCTGAGACGACAGGCCAGTAAACACCAAAGTCTCACCCTACAGCGAGCAGCAGTCTGTAGCATGCATGCTAACATCTGCCTGACGTCAGTCTGTCAACGTCTCTAGCTCCTACGAGGACATTCAAGCCAGTAATGCTAGCAGTAGAAGGGTGTTTCGGCAGACATTAAAGCGTGACTGTGACGCAGGCCCCATAGATAAATGTTTGGCTTTCAAGTCAGACTGTGAGGTAAACAGACCGAGGCTTCTGACTTACATTTTCACTGAAGGAGGGGATGCAGAGAAATATATGGAGTGGAAGAGGAATGAAGGATAAAAAAGCAGCGGTCAAAAGGCAGTTGCAGAAAGAGGTAACACAAACAAGGCCTTGCGTTGAATAAGAAAAAGCAGGGAAAGAAGAGAGGGAGAGAGAAACATAGGAAGGAAAGGAAAGTAAGTATGAGACAGAGAGGAAAGATGGAGGGGGGGGAAGTGTCCTCGCTTGCCTTTGGATGTATGGCCTTGTTTGTTTTCTATATGCTATATCCCTCCCTTCCTCCTCCCGCTCCCCTCCGCCCTCGGTCTCAGCTGCTCACCCACCCTAACAATCCTCTTTTTATTTCTTCCAGGGGCGGAGACGAGGCGGACCACACAACGCAGGAGACCTGGGGAAATCATTAACCGCACACAAAAACACACTATGACTGGTAGGTTATGTCTCTGCACCTGTTTACATGTATGTTTATGAGGCGGGTGTATACCCCACAGACTCAGCAAGAGGCTTGTACAATAATTCATCATCTTTCTACTTTCTGCTGTCAGCCTGTGTCACATGTGCAGTATGTGCAGCTCACACACTCTGTGGCTTTGCTTATAAACACCTGCAGTGACTCTCACCTGTGCTGCAAGTACATTAAAGGTGTCATTTCCACTGCATATGGGATCGGGATGTACCTCTGATTTACTCAGTGAAAGCCCCTATCATTTTATTTGTGAGCCACTTAAGTAAAACTAGAAATCGTCATTCATTCATTTCTTGTAGTTCCTTATTCATCTAGTTTGGGTGATTTATATTTGACACCGCTGCCTCACACCTTCATTCATTCGTCTCTTGTCAGATTCTTAATGGTTATTAATGATACAACTGGTGGTAAGAGATCTGTCTCAGTGGAAATCTGCAAGATTTGGAATTGAAATAACCGAGCGACGGCTGAGGTTATGGAGCACCATATGCCAGCAGAATGTGGCTCTTATTTAAATTAGGTTTTTCTTCTATGACTGCACAAAGCATCTTCAGTAATCACCTTTTTTTTTGAATAGTGCCTCCCATAGTCCTCTCCTCTCTCTGCACAGCTGGAGCGAATGGGGAAGCGCATAATTGTGGTCTAATCCTGCTCTAAGTCCCTGCAGCATTAGGGAAACAGCAGAGGCAGATAATGCATGGCAGCGAGCAGAGTGAGACGGAATAACCCCCAGAGTTGCTTGGACAGATGTTTGGTGTGAAAAGCTTTAATGGTAGTGAGCTCATAGTGGACCAAAGGGGACCGCAGTAAGTCACGGGTTCAAGTACTTCTTGGAACTGGACTAGTGGTTTCAAGAAGAAGGTCGATATTTAGAGAGCGGGGTTGCAGATATATAATGACGATATGTCAATGTTATCGAATTGAAATACTCTGATAAGTATATAATTATCCAACAGATGCACTGGACAAAGGTGATACTAAAGTAAAATGCTAAAGTGTACTGAACTGTCATTTTTATTGCAGCTGAGCCGGCTTTGTGTGTTGCTCAGATCTGGCTGTGCGGGGAGGGGTCGTAAAGGAGTCATTACTATTGTAAATATGTAACTGTGTTATGCTTAGTTATGATGCCGTTGTAAATATGTGACATCCAGTGTGTTAGGGTTTAGGGCGAGACCCTTAACAGGATGAGAGGTTAGTGACCCGGATCAACTGGAGTAAATGTTTGCTGTTGGAAATATTTTCACCCCTGGTTTATCAATTATGATGCTGCTGTATGCTACATTAATGTCACAATGAAACACGTTTTTTTTATCATTGATTGAACGCCTTAACAGTTCTAATATATATATATTTTCTACCTAGATTTTCCAGGCAAACCTACATTTCAACATTATATATTATGATATTATATAGTATATAATATATCTGAAAAAAGGTTTAAAAGGGTTAAATGTAATTTTGACTAGATTACAAATAAGTACTTGACCAGTTCTGCTCAAATAGCAGATGGTATAAGTGCAACAAAAAAAGATTGAGGCCAAGACAAACCAGCAATTATACTTCGTCAATGTTATAAAAATAGGATACATATATAAACTAAGTGTTTATTTTAATAAATAAGTATTTTCTGTGTCTCTGAGAATATATGCAAATGTAAACAAAATATCAGATAATGCCTCCTTTGTATACTTAAACATAAAACTAATAAAAAAACTTGAAATGAATTAAATATTTCCCTAATGGGAGTATTAAACTGGGGAATATATATTAGATACATGTTTCATATTCTCCTTGAGTGTCCCTTTTAAGCTATAGAATACGTAGCAACTGCAGGAAAGAGAGCGTCTTCAATGACACCCAGTAAAGTGAGAAGCCTTGGTGATTCATGATGCTTGTAAAAGCTGTGAAACGTGCTCCCTTCCCCACGGCTCCTGCAGCAACCTTCCAAGCTTTCCTCTCTGAGTGCCCCCCCCCCTGGACAGCATGATCTCTGGGTTGACGAAGGCCAGTATGTGTGTGATTTCTCCACAGAACAAGGAGAGGTTTCGTTAGGCAATCATTGGAAGTAGTGTAACCGGGGTAAGGGGGGGTATTTAAAGGGGGTGAGCTTATCCCCAGGAAGTGGGTCTCTCAGAGCGGGGATGGGGGTTGTGCAGACATGAGGCTCACACTTTTGGGTTCAGGGGTTGATGTGCACGTACAGTATGTGTTTGTGCAGGGGGGGTACTGTGCGTATACATACAGCTGTGTGTCTGTTAGTGCTTTTGTGGGTAGAGGCGATGTGAGGTGTTAGGCTGGGGCACAGGCAGGCGAGGAGGTGGGATCAGTCTCCCAGCACTAAGCTAGAGGCAAGCATTCTTAACACATCATAAATCTCACCTGGTGCTACAGAACCGCTGCTGACATGGTTGCTGCAGTACACTCACACACATGTGCCTCAAACACACATGTGTGTAATGTGTGTAGCACGCACATTTTTTTAGTGGGCGACTGGGCGCATGTTGCATGTGTATATATGGTATGTTTAATTGCACACAGGCAGTAAAGCAAGAGCCTAAAAAGTCAGTACTGTCAACAGTAGAGGTGACATTTGAAAAATAAACTGATGGATAATCTATTACATTTCATCCATCTCCTCTTGTGACATACATAAGAACAAAAACAAATCTTTACAGCGTTGTAGAGGCACTGATTTGAACCTACTGAATTAATCTGCAGCACAGAAGTACAAGCAGACTAATCCCTCCTCTGATTTTCCCTGTTTCACATCACAATATACACTGACTGTTGTTGTCACAATGCCAGACATGGCGTAATTGATAACAATTACAGTGACATTTCCCGTTTCTCGACGTCAGTTCAATACCATAGAAAAACATAATTATATCTCAACATTCACTCCTTTATTACCATTCACATTTGAACACATAATGTAATTGAATGAAATCTCATGCTAACAGGACTGTGCTTTCCACCGGCTACTGAGAGCTAACATTTACTAGCTGCCCCTCCTGCATATTTCAACACTAAAATAGGGTGTGTGGGGTCACCTCTGTCTTAAGCCCTACGTTAACTACGGTGCGTCAACATGTGTACTTCAGTTTTTCAGAATTTGTTCATCAACTTGGTACCAAAGTATTGGTTCTCAGTGTTTCCGTTTATTTGTGTAACCTTATTGGTCAATCAGGGTCCAAACCCAGTCTTTACTGTTAGTTGTTTTGGTTCTACAACTTTCTGTAAGTACAGCTCCGGGGCTCTGCACAGCAGCAAAACAACATATTTTCTGCTTGTGTGAAAAGAGGGAAATCTGCCTCCTCCCTAGTGGAAAATTACACTTAATCTCTCTCGTGCTCTATTATTTTCTCACCTGTTATGAGGCCGGATGTGCTTTCGCTGGTATTGAAGACAGAAGACAACAATTACTGGTATGTGACATTAGTGCACTTAGTTGTTCTTTCGGCTGTTGTTGAGTGTGTGCACTCAGTGAACTGCTGTATAGGACAGAATCAGTATAGTCTGAATCCATTATATATTCCTTTCTTGTGTACTTTTCTATCCTCTATTGGCAGCGGCGCAGGTGGCTTATTACATGTGTACACGTACACGCTGTACATGTACACTCCCCTGACCTCATGTGTTCTTTGTGTCTCTGTGTGTAAAGATTAGAGCCCCAGTGTCTCCTAAAGACGGGGAGGGATTCAAGGGTAAAGTACGACTTGGTCACCTAATGTGCATTCAGAGGCAGTAAACATTGAAGTGTAAACACTCATGAGCACAGCTAATTAGCAGTTTCTGAAAATAAAAGAAACTGTCACACTGTGCACCTGTTCTGTATTTTAAATTCAAGAAATGAGTGATGACAGATGTGCCCACACAGCAGACAGCACACATGCTCACACACAGACTTGATATTGCTGACCACAGAGCCACGTTCAGTGAAAATGATGCTCCGTTCAAGTCTGTAGCATCCTGGGAACAGTCGAGCATTTTCTTCCAATTAGGCTCTAGCAGCTCACCTCTCACAGAGAAGCTGTTCATTAAAAAAGACTTTCCCACTGTATGTTGCCAATGTTCCTATACAGGTTTCCTATGGTTTTAAGGGCTGGACATTTATTTCATTTTGGGCAAACTATTGTCACAGCAGGGAAAGTGATCAGGGCTCACTCACTCACCAGAAGTGTGTCTATCTTTCTTTTCACGTGACTTTATAGAACACATGCAGGCCTGTGAATTATTGGGCTTCAAGGGGCTATAACCTCCCCTTAATAGACGTACACAACTATACACATTCCTATAATAATTAATAACCAATTTCACTTAATACCCAAGGCATCTTTGACTCTAAAGTCAGTGTTAGCTTGTTAAATCAAAAATATTGGATCGTTATAATTTGTTATAAGCAATGATCTCAAATAACCTTTAAACATTTTTTATTGGTTATACAATGGTGTTCAATGATATGAAACAAAGACAAAGCAGCAAGAGTTGTAACCTGTACTTTCTGAATGTCAATCAAATATTTGCCAGTTGATTGATCAATTTATTCAATATTTAACTTGTGAGGTTTTCTGATTGCTCAAGATGCGAAATGGGATTAATAAGAACAATGTATATTACATGTGTGTCTCCCTCCCTGTTTAAATATGGTATAAGTTTGACTTTTTGGTGCCTTTCAAAAAATCCTACCAAAAAATGTGTCAGAGTAGAACGATACTACTAATTTACAGTATGTCCACATTAAGGCCGTGGCCTGCAGTGAGAGGTCAAAAAGTAGGCTACACTTCAAGTAAAGATGAATTGGGAACTAAAAACTAATGTTAACTTTACACATAATGGCTAAAAACTAAATATAAGGCCTTGCCAAAATGAAAGATTACACTCTCAGAGGTTGACGGGGGCCCTACTATGAAAATCAACTTCAGCTGAGGCAGGTAGGGGGGCTGTGACACACACACACACACACA